ATCTCTCACTAACATGTATGGTTGCAGCCCGCATACAATGTCAATCAAAACAGCGTAGAATCTGTGCTTAACATAGCTAATGAACTGGAACGTGGATCTGGTAAAGGAGGGTATTGCTGGTTGTCAAAGCAACACGCAAAGGAAGTACAGTTACGAAGGTATAATTCGTTTATGTTAAATTCGATGTGTCTTTACCAACATTCTACTGATTTGTACTGACATTTTGGTCTTATCTAGCTAAAATCAGTTATTCTAAATGCATATTTAACAAAAATAAAACTATCGGACACTGAGTGTGGCAGCCTGCCACGTGTTTCATTACCGACATAAAATTCGAAAGTTTTCAATTGGCGCAAGACAGTGATACTCCTCGCTAAAAAAACCAAAAATTTGCTATATTTTATTCCGAAAAATCAAAATGAATTTCAGTAAAGTGCTGCTACCCATTTTTTGAAGAAAAAGTGCCAATAAGGGAATAGCGTATTTGAAGCGGAAGATAACAAGGGGGGTTGGGGAGAAAGGGGCATGAAATGCTCGATTTTTACACGAGCCAAGACGACACGATTTTGCAGATATTATAGAGCGCAGAAAGAACTAATAAAGTGCATTGGAAATGACCGAGAAATAATCGATGGACACAAGCGAAGCGAAGGGGAACATTTTCGAAGTGACCAGCAAAATTTGTTCGTTCGGAAACTGTTCAATTTATCAGTAGTGATACTCGCGGCTTTCAACATCGCTGCATTCTGCTTGTCGCCCTCTTATCCGTCTTTGCTGCTTGCCGCCACTTTTTTCTTGTTAATATCATTTCGGTTAGTTTTAAAATTTTTGAATTTTATCGGAGCGTAAGTTTTCATATATCTGTAATGTTTTTTTTTTGCCGTTCTAAAAGGCTGAAGTCTTTGCACTCTTATTTCTCAAAATTTTGATAAGAATATTGATTGCAATAAGCTTCCGATTAACCAGGAATTGGCTTGTGATCCACAGTAATTTATTATTGCTCCTTACTGAGCTGTTCGGTATCGTAACTGGATTTTTGAACGGTTTGGTCGTCTTTTCGATTTTCGACAGTTGCATTTATGTGAAAATATCGAAGGACCTCAATGTTATGTCCTTGTTTATCGCAGTGTTCGCTGCAGCGATTGGTGTGGCATTGGTCGGCGTCATAAGTTTGACTGAATCGCATCCTCAGTAATGAATTTTTTAAAATTTTTTCCAAGTTTTGATGAATTAACTAACACTAATAGTTGCCTCTTCCGAGACACTACACTATGTAACTTGCATTATACTAAGCGTTCACAGACAAAGAAATTGTTGCGGTCAAATGAAATTTTTGACCGAAAAGAGAAAATTCACTTCCAAAAGCATGTGATAATTACTGCGCTGGCAGTATGAATGTTTCTGGATGAATTACAGTCGCATATTTGCATTAAATTAAACGAATACAGGAGCTCCGCTCTGAACAAGCAAATAATCTTTCCTAGCTATAATTCAGCGTCTCAATTTCGAAGGTTACCCGCCAACTGATAACGTTTGGAACCAAAAAATAACAATATTGCAGCTTATTAAAGCAGTGCCTTATCGTTTGCGCCGTACAAATTTGCTGTTGTGCTGGTCTTGCTTTATCCTTGCAGCATCGATCTTTCTTGCGGAATGATGCCCTATCGTCAATTATTTTAAGGTCTCTTTGCTCGAATCTTAA